TACGATTCTCGGCAATTCTTTGTTCTCCTTGTGTCCGCATTACGAGCCGTTATCGTTAGCTGCAGACGACGATTACTGATTTTTATGTCCCATTTTAGCATCATTGTGCTCAACCAAAACAAGAAGTTGATTTCCTTATTTTACTGATCACTAAAATTTAAGTCTCTACATTAACATGTACCTGAAATACAGTTCTTAAAGTCTTTGCCAGTTTCTAAAAATTTAACGAAATTAATTAGATTTCTAAATTGTTACATATGTGTAAGAACGACTCATATTTTATTACACTGCCTGCTAGTCATCTGGGAATAACAATCTCGTCATTTAGGTGAGCTTTAAGTACATGTTCGGTGTAATCGATCTAGTTTTTACATTTATTTTATTTAGATATATTTGTTATCTGTTGGTAGTATTTTTTCGCAAAAAACGCAATATTCAGTCCAGTTGCGTTATTACCGTTATTGCGGGTATTTTCAGATTTTAACGATGGTAACAGTGCGGTATAAATATGACCAACCGTTCTGAGCGAGCTCATTCTTCGGCCGACTGTCGAACGCTAACAACAACTCTAGCGCGTTTGCGCACAGCATTCTTATTCGTTCATAGCCAATTCGTATTCGTGCCGAATATAAGACTACCTACACAAATCTAGAAAATTCGGACCCACTTCGGATGTTGCTTGTGCACTAAGTCCCATTCGAATCCAAGAAAATACGAATATCGTTTGCACACTTAGAATTAGCATGACACGTCGGCCACCTGTGACATTTCGTCCCAGATTCGGAACAAATCGGACGTACTGCGTAAACGCTCTTAGAGAGACGAAACACATACGGGGTATATTAGTGGTGGTATCTGGGACAGTAGGTGGGCTTGTGTTATTTATTACATAAACTTTACGCAGAGGGAGGGTGGGTAAATTAACTGCATGATTTAAATATTCAACAAAAACGCATCTATTTTGTACGATTTAACCTCCACTGAGTTCACTGAGTAGCAAATTCATTTATATCCATTTTTATAAACATGGACTTCCGCAAAGTAAGGCCTGAATTCATTAATTGGCATATTTTTATGTAAAATTTCATTAACTTTTCTTGCTTCCTTAACTTTAACCATAATAACCATAGTTTTAGACAATCTTGGCCCCGATTACAATTTTCCATTCGCGACGAGTATTATTAAACGGGCTATTCTCATTTACTTCTAATTGGCAATTAGTGTGGTGAAGCTTGGCTGGCTTTGTGACTTGCCTAGGTGACGTTCGCGTTGATCGGCTTGCACTCAGCTCCACGTACATACCAATTTATATTTGCAACCAACAAAATACACACCCATGTATGTTTCTATGGTGTAAAATTTCATAGTGTGAAATAGAAACATTGCATTTTGAAAATCCTAGAATAGAGCTTTGATCATTGCTCTAAATTTATTAATTTTAGTACCTTATTGAAGGTAAATAAAGATTAGTATTATATGTAGGTTAGTGGCGCAACATTGTTCTTTAATAATCTACTAGAGGTACATAATAAGTCAGAAATCGTAAACAACATTTTGGTAATTACTTACCCAAAATGGGTCTAGGCCTCCGATAACGTTATGGTAAACCGACATATTTTCTGAATTGATCATAGTCAAATAAACCCAAAAGAGTATCATACATGTACGTCAAAGGTAAATTTATTCTTTGAAGTTACCTCTCAAAATCTTTGCACTTTTATCTAGAAAGAAACTTTCAAGTAAATTTTTTGTTGCTACTCGCATCAAACGATTCAATGCACAAAACGTCTGAAATAACTTGAGTCATAACCATCATGGTATTTCAATGGCACAAAGTGTCAAGCAACGACGGTGAGAATATCAAAGCTATTTGCTTAAAGTACACCTTCAAACACATCAAATCAATATTGAGTGTTTTATATACATAAAACCTCTGAATTTTGAAGTATTGCTGTATTCCAGTGGCTATTTTTGAAAGCAATCTTACCGTTTTTGGGAGCAAACGAAAGCGAGACGATGGTTGTGTATTGTGATTACAATAAATCAAAACTTAAAGTATTGTACGTACTTGAACTTACACAAAGTATAACCATGGTATAACTATGAGAAAAATTCCAACCATAGCACAACTCATGATCGTAGTATCCGTAACACATACGTTTAAACTATTACTTTGACTGCAACCGTGGCCGAACGGTTAGCATACTGGACTGCCACGCAGAGGTCCCCGGTTCGATTCCCGGGCCGGGAGAAATAATTACATGGCCTATGTTTATTTATCTCGTGAGTTTGGGTGTAATTTGTGGTTGTCTATATGTGTGTCCATGGCACCAGCGACACAGGGTTCCCTAGAGGGGGGCTATGAGTAAGTTTGCATGAAAAAAAATCATATTTATAATATTCATTAATAGTGTAAAAAATGACAATTTCGCGACCACATGAAAAAAATAAAGGTGTTTAGCTGCAGGTAATGCACTACTACTTACATGTATGATGAAAAAAAAATTAATTAGACCCATTATATGGAGAATCAAGAGAGAGAAATAGATGTTGCTTCGACAAAATTGCTTTGTCAGTGTTTGTCAGTCTTTAAATGTTATTCATTAACGGTTGAGGAGGCGCAGCAAAGACGCTAGTATATATGTTACTAATGGAAGGAGCTCAGTGCTCTGTACGTAAAATTGTGCTCAAAAAGTGTCAGCTATAACTACATAGGCACCTGACCGCAGTTTTGTAAAGGGAGGCTGATACTGTCCGTGGGCTCTTCGTTCTTAAAACTGTAATAAATACTCATACACAAGTTGTTCGGTCAGCTGACTATAGGCTTTAATTACGAAACGAAGATTTCCTCTTCCACTACCAGCTTTTTTGCTAAACGTTCTCACCCACACACCTGCTCAGCTGTACAACAATGTCCTCAAATCAGATTGTGAAACAGAATAGTGCTCTGCATTCGAAGTTAAACACACACTGCAGACTGATTACTTGGTTTACGAGATTTTTTTTACATATCATGTGATGGGACAAACAAATCGTGCGCCTTGTGGTAAGTGACACGCCTGTTCATAACAGTTGCAGTAACCCTCAGAGCTTTACATCGCAAAAATCTAAGGGGCACTGGCACAGCGCCCGTTACCCTGAGACGTACGTTGAAAAATCCCATGTGCCAGTATGTCACCAGTACCTTTATAACCGAATGCTCACATTACCGCGTTTCGCGATTGTTACACATAGGAAATTAAACAATTTTTCGAACATTTAGGCGCTGCGCTGATGGAGCAACTTTGATCATTGAGTTTCGGCAACTGGCTGTTTATCACGTTTTTCATATAATTTCAAGAAACCGCGCAGACGTAGCAACTTCGGTTGAGAATTTCGGCAATCGACTACAGTTTTCGATTGCCGCAAATAGAAACTTGCACATTTCTACCGGTTATCTCCAGTTGCCAGTTTCCTCAACCGGTAACCGCAACTCGTAAAGCAACTCCACTCCCTCCCCTCCCTGCCCCTCGCAGCATCCTTCTTGACCGTGGATTTCGAAAGTTTATTTCAAATTGCGGCAACCGGCAACTAGGCCTTTTAGATGCTACAACCGGCAACCGTTAATGGAAACTTGCAAAAAGTTGCCAGTTGCGTCAACAAAAGCTCCATCTACAGAGCGCCTTAGGTTACAAACTACCGCTTATCATGACATCAGTCTAACTGAAAAAACATATGCAATTACATACGAAAAAATAGTTTTATTTCCTACTATTGTTATTAAATGCTGCATTACCATACAAAATGTGTACGGTCAGTCTGAAATTTGTATGAGGAATCTTTACTTATTTTCGCATGTTTGAAATTCTTTTTTGCTAAAATTGTTTATTTTAATTATCATCAGCTGAACTGGATGGCCCCGCAGAATAATCATTATCTACACGTTATACACGTTCATTCGGTGGAGCTGTCGAAATGTGATCGAACCATTTGTTTACATCCTGTATATTATACAGCTAACAACACTACAATCTTGCTTCATCCCCAGTGTAGCAACTAAGCTTCGTTAGTCCAAGTCCGACAACAGCGGTGAAAGCAATTGTCCGTGTCCACAATGACCAGGCGTCCGAACTCCACTGCATGCATAATAAGCTGGCCGCCTACTACAGTATTACAAAGTTACCATTTTGTTGCACAGGCACAGAGTTTACTGCGTATTTTGTGGTTTATTATAAATGTTTTAAGACCGACAGACGGTAGAACATCTTGTTGACTTTTTCATAATTGATCATAAGTATATTAACTTGGGACAGCAAACTGCGTGGGACAGTATTAGCGTCCTTTACTTTGAATCTGTCCTTTGTGTTACTTATCATAATCTATAAGAACAGCTTTTACTGTGGGAACCCTTGTGAATCAGGAAAAGAAAATATGCTGTTTCATACAAAAAGTTTTATAAGTACTCAACCAAACCACATATAGTATAAGACAAATATGATAACTCCATACGGACGTCGCAGCGAGGCTTCTACGTGTGCGCACCGCCCGCCGTGTACGGAAGCTCTCATTTCTATAACGTCGCGATGCACTTGTGTTGCAAATACTAGTCGTCCCAACGCACCATTCATTAATATGCGAATGTGTGTCTCTGTACATGGCGCGCGGCGGTTTGCACCGAATAATAAAATAAAATAAGTATTTCTCATACTTTGTTAACCGACTTCAAAAAAGGAGGTGGTTCTCAATTCGACTGTATGTTTTTTTGTATGTATGTTACGCGATAACTCCGCCATTTGTGAACCGATTTTGATGATTCTTTTTTGTTGGAGAGAGGGTACCTCCACAGTGGTCCCATTTAATTTTGAAGAAAATCATCCACCTGTAAGGGTGGCTGTTCACGCATGAAGATGCATTTTTATAAATAGCGCCTAAATTTTATTATAAGGAGCTGTTCATGCACAGGTGTACACAAATGAAACTCCCGAACTTCGTTTAAGCTTGTATTGGCACTTTATACAGCGTTTTTGTAATTTTAAAATTTGAACAATGCTTGCGTTAAGAAAATTAGTGGAGAAGTGAAGGTTGTCAAAAAAAAAAGATAATTGTTCATAGTACGATTTTTGATGCACACTTTTGCCAACACTTTAACGTCAGGCGTTAACATACTGCCCGCGTTGAAAATCTTCAATTTTCAAACTTCTAATTCTTCAGAAGTAGGCAAGGGACACAGACGAACCAAGGGGCGGCGCACGCATCCTCCTCGCGTGGTTACATCAGCAACTCGTGCTATATGATCAGAGGGTCCATAAAATAATCTTGAGATTCGACCGAGCTTCCAGCAGAGAGGAGGGACATCGTCTTCTTGTAGAATTACCAAATCTCCTACGTTTGGGTTGGACGAATTGGTTTTCCATTTGTGGCGTTGTTGCAACTCAGCAATATACTCGCGCTGCCAACGTCGCCAAAAGTGTTGATGTATTTGTTGTAGCCTTGCGTAGCGTTGCAGGTTGTTAGGGTTGCAGTCTTCCACATCAGGTGAGGGTATCGCGACGAGAGCTCGACCAATGAGGAAGTGCCCGGGAGTTAGGCAGAGGAAATCATCAGGAGAGGATGACAGGGGACAAAGCGGACGGCTGTTCATTACGGCCTCTACTTGTGCAAAAAGAGTACCTAACTCTTCAAAAGTTAAGTGCGAGTTACCCATAACGCGTTTAATATGGTACTTAGCGGATTTTATACCGGCTTCAAAGATTCCGCCAAAGTGAGGTGCGTAAGGTGGAGAAAATAAAAATTTTATTCCATCTTCACTTGCAACGTCAGATAAAGAGGCTGCATTAGCCTTTAAAAAGTGGTTAATTTCTTTTGCGCCAGCAACAAAATTGCGTCCGTTATCGCAGAACACCTCGGCCGGCTTGCCTCTTCGTGACACAAAACGGCGAAACGTCATGACAAAGGCATCCTTTGAGAGATCACTAACAATTTCGAGATGTACACATTTGTATCGTAAACAAACGAACAAACAAAGATAACATTTTACAAGTACTGAGCCGCGACCCCTTTTGTTTACAATATAAAAAGGGCCCCCGAAATCGAGGCCAACAGTTTGAAATGGAAAGCTTGGCGTGAGACGTTGGGACGGTAGATTTGATAGCATGGGCTTCATAGTTTTACCCTGTAGTCTTCTACATTTAAAGCAGTTACGGACTGTACGTCGAGCTAAATGCCTACCATTTATAGGCCATACAAATTCGCGAATTATAGCTAATAGTAGCTGTGGGCCAGCGTGTAAATTTTGTTTATGTTCATATTCAAACAAAATTTTGGTGAAATGATGTGTAGAATGTAAAAGTACTGGATGTTTTTTGTCAAAGTTAAAATCGGATGTATCTAATCGACCTCCCACTCGTATAACTCGATCATCACCAAAGAACGGAGACAATGATAAAATGGGAGATTTAGGACTTAGTGATTTTTTACATGCAAGTAAGTCATATTCAAGTAAAAACGATTCGCGTTGAGATAAACGACACAAATGAATGAAAGCTGAATTTAGCTCTTCAGCTGATGGAGAGCCCGTAATTTGTTTCTGTGTATTCCTGGTATTGTGTAGGAAACGCAACATATAAGCAAATATGCGTTTTAATTTAGTTATACTGGAGTAGTTTTTAAAGTATATTACAGAGTCTTTATTAGAAGTTAGGTTAGAAATAGTACAGTTGGATACATAATTCGTTTTAGTTTCTGGTAATTCAGGTGAATTGATTTTATGAAAATTTAAGATAGGCCAATCACCTTCGGGTTCAGTGAGGTATGATGGGCCTGACCACCACAGAGTTGTACAACCTAGTTGATCTGGACTAACACCTCTGGATATCAGATCAGCAGGGTTAGCTGTGGTTGGCACGTAACGCCAAGAAGCAGAATTTGTGAGTTCACATATTTCTGATATGCGATTTGCAACAAACGTTTTTAGATTTTGAAAACTACAACGGAGCCAACTCAGCACGATCGTTGAATCGCACCAGTGTACTTGCCGGGGTTGTATATTAAATCTAATTGATTCGCTAACTGCCTTACCTAGCTTGGCTGCCAGAAGAGCGGCGCACAGCTCTAGCCGGGGAATAGTGGTGGCCTTTATTGGGGCAACTTTAGATTTGGAACAGAGAAGATTTATGGTTACGTTGCCTTCAGAATCTTCGGAACGCAAATAGACACAAGCACCATATGCATTTTGTGACGCATCACTGAAAGAATGGAGTTCTATGGATACAGGTTCATCGCACAGGACGCGTCTGGGAATGTTTAGATTTAAAAGCGAAGGTATGGTGTTTGCGAATGTATTCCAATCTCTTTGAATAACATTGGGGATTGGATCATCCCAAGCCAGGTTTTGCGACCACAAACGCTGCAAAATTATTTTTGCATTGATCACGCAGGGACTCAGCAAACCTAAAGGATCAAATATTTTAAATAGAGATGAGAGAATCGATCTCTTAGTCAGAATTTCGTCATTAGATGGGGCTGGAACGTTAAATGGAAAGTGCAAATGATCAGTAGATGGGTTCCAACCCATTCCTAATGTAGATGAGGATTCACTTACGATTAAATTGTCGTTTGAACTAATAGT